TCCAAAGGCGTGGACCGTGTTGAAGGAGCTGCATGCCCCTACCTCCGTCGCTGCGACGCTCATGATGGAGAGGGAGATTTCCACGTTGCGCTTGAGCGAGGGAGAGCCGGTACAACCTGTTCTGGACAAGATGCGTGATCTCTACGCGAAGCTGGCGATCGCGGGAATCACCTAGCAGGAGCAGACCAAGTGCGTGAAGATGCTCTAGCTGCTGCCGGAATCGTGGCTTCTATTCACGAGCGGATCGAGCCTGCCCCAGAACCCGAAGGGCAACGGCGGTGCTGAGAAGAAGAAGGAGCGCACCGCGGGCCAGTTCTTCCATACAGGAGAGCAGGGGGAGCAATGAGACGCATCTGCCAAGGTTGGCGCAGTGCTGCACCCCCTGGAATTTTGGGTGTTGGATGCGGGCGCTTCTTGGATGATGACGCCGCGCAAAGACCTGCTGGACGACGTACGCGCTGCACCGATTAACGAGGTGTGCTCCGCCTCTGGACATGCGCTGAAGGTGGCTGGTGCGGGACGAGCTGCCTTTAATGGAGCGGATGGCAAGCCGGTAGTGCTGCACGACGTTTCCCTCGTCCCCGAACTCAAGGCCAACCTCATCTCTCTCTGTAAGCTTGGCAAGGCTGGGGTGAGCACTTACACGGATGGGGCTCGCACGTACAAGGGGCAGCTGGGCAATCGGGTGCTTTGGGATCTGCACGAGAGCAAGGACGTGTACAGATCTATGTGGCAGCTGCCGGCGTTGGCGTGGCACGGTGGGGGGCAGGCTAGAGAGGGGTCTGCATCCCAGGGGGAGTGCAACGCTGTTGGAGGGGTTGGTGTGAAAGTGTCAGCCAGATCTGGGGAGACAGATTGGGCAAGGGTAAATCAACGCTTGGGGCATGTGGCAATGCCCTTGTTGAAGCAGTTGGAGAAGGATGGAGCCGTCAAGGGTCTGAAGCTGAACGAACAGCCAGCAGATGACAATTATGAAATATGTTTGCTCTCAAAGCTTACCCGTTTCCCCTTCCATAGTGTGGCTGGCAGGAGCAAGAAGCCTTTGGAGCTGGTCCACATGGACTTGGTGGGGCCACTGCCGGTGCAAGGGCACAAGGGGGAGCAGGCTGATGTGGGCGTATGCGCTGAAGCAGAAGGACCATGCCGCCTCCACGATACGGGACGATTGGCTGCCATTTGTGGAGAAGCAGGCGGAGTGTGTAGTGAAGCGGATTAGGACAGACCGGGGTGGTGAGTTCCTTGGAGCTGAGATGACGGCCTGGCTCAAGAAGCAGGGCACCAAGAGGGAGCTGCCACGGCTTACACCCCACAGTCCAACGGTGTTGTAGAACGGGCGAACCGGACCATTCTAGAGACAGCTAGGGCGCTGCTCATAGAATCTGGGCTTGGCAACTCCATGTGGCCCCACGCTGTTCGGCACGCTACCGTCGCTAGGAACAGGGTGCTCACCAAGGTTGGGGATGACTCGTGGGTGCCTTTGGAGAGGTGGCTTGGGAGGAAGCCGCCGGTGGACATGCTGAGGGTGTTTGGCTGCATGGCAGTCGCTCACGTCCCCAAGACCTACCGCAGTAAGTTGGGGGCGAGTGCAATCTGGTGTGTGCATTTGGGGCTGGCTGCTGAGAGCAAGGGATGGCTGTTGTGGGTGTGTTGTTTGACAGAAAGGATGTGAAATTCATTGAGGGCATAATGTATGGGAGCTTGGAGGAAGAGCCGAAGGCAAGGGTGTCCCAGCAGATGGAGCAGATCACCATGCAGCTGGACCTGACTCCTAGTGTGTGGGAGGAGGGAGAGGAGGCAGCTGCGGGGGGTGGTGATGGAGAGAAGGTACAGGAGGCACCTGCTGATGGAGGAGAGGCTAGTGATAGCACTGGTGGAGCTGCTGGATCTGAAAGAGGAGAGCAGCAGCAGAGCAAAGGTAAGGTGCCTAAGCTACCGCAAAGGAGGAAGCCAAAGGGTGTCGTTATGAAGGGGTGGGAAACACCCGTCTCTAGGCCAGGACGCACCCGCATGGCAACAATGAAGCTGACTACAGGAGCTGATGTAGCAGAGCAGCAGCTTGGGAATGAGGAGGCATTACTGATTTTGCCTCAAGGGTATGACCCGGATGAGGAGGACGAGCCTGCATACTGTTTTCTTGCCCCTGCACCAGAGGAACCAGCTAGCATGGAGGAGGCATTAGCTGGACCAGATAGGGACAAATGGCTGGCTTCTAGGGATGCTGAGTACTAGAGCCTGCTAGAGAATGGGACATGGGAAGTGGTGGTGCTGCCTGAGGGGAAGAAAGCCGTACAGTGCAAGTGGGTGCTGAGGATCAAGACCGATGACAAGGGGCAGGTCACCATCTACAAGAGTAGGCTGGTGGCTAAGGGGTTTCAGCAGAAGGAGAAGCAGGACTTCAATCAGATCGTTGCTACCACTGGCAAGCCTCCTACTCTTCGTGTCGTGTTGGCAGATGCAGCCGTTAGTGGAAAATATATCATTCAGATGGATATATCAACGGCATTCCTGAATGGGATTTTAGAGGAGGAGGTGTTCATGACGCAGCCGTATGGGTATGAGGATGGTACGGGCAGGGTGTGCAAGCTGAAAAAGTCCATCTACGGCTTGAAGCAGGCGCCACGCTGCTGGTACCAGAAGTTGGCAGCTGTTTTAAAGGAGATGGGATTATGGACCAGCAGCTGTGATGAGAGCCTCTTTCTCAAGGGGGAGGGGGAGAAGCTGGTGCTGTTTCTGGTCTACGTGGACGACATTCTTCTCTTTAGCAGCAGCATGAAGGAGATCCAGAAAGTGCAGCAGCAGCTGATGGAGAACTTTAAGTGCAAGAACCTTGGGGAGGTAAAGTACTACCTCGGGATGCACGTGGAGAGGGATCTGGATCACAGGTGGTTGAAGCTGCACCAGGAGAAGTTTATCAAGGAGCTGGGGGAGAAGTATGGGATTGAGAATGAGCGCAAGGTTGCAACTCCCCTGCCAGCAGAATTCAAGCTTGTAAAGGCTGCAGAGGATGAAGGGGTTGAAGCCGAGGAGCAGCAGCAATTTCAGTCCTTGGTGGGCAGCCTCTTGTATGCAGCTGTTCACACGAGGCCCGACATCTCTTTCTCGGTTGGGCAGCTGGCTAGGGTGGTGCAAAATCCATCAGACGAGTAGGTGGATACAGCTGAGCGTGTGGTGAAGTATCTGAACTCCCACCCAAGCATTGGAGTTCAATACTCCGCATCTGCACAGGTGAAGCAGAAAGGGGTTGAGGTGCTAGAAGAGAAGGGGGAGCGGCTTGGAGAAGGCAAGCTTTTTCTCACTTGCTTTACCGATGCTACGTGGGCTTCTGAGAAGGAGGATTCCTCATCTGTAGGAGGATACATCTGCGTAGCTGCGGGTGGACTTTTTAGTTGGAGTTCCAAGAAACAGACGGAGACGGCACTCTCCTTTGTTGAGTCAGAGTACATGGCGATGTTCCATGGGGTGAAGGAGGTGATTTGGTTGAGGAGGCTGTTAGAGGAGATTGGCCAGGAGCAGAAGGTTGCTACGCAGTTTTGTGACAGCATGGGGGTTCTTGGGATGGCCAGGAACGCGGTGCTTTACGGGCTGAACAATCACATGCGTGTCAAGTGGCATTGGCTGCGTAAGGAGGTGAAGAGGGGGACGGTGAATCCGATCTACATCAAGAATCACCAGCAGCCAGCAGACATACTCACAAAGAAGCTTGCGGATGAGCCTCATTGGCGTTGTGTGCGCATGAGTGGAATAAGCATGAACTAGCATGGAATGATGGGAATGCAGCCGGCAGGCTGAGAGGGAGTGTGTTGGGTGCAAATTGACTTTGTACGACATCCTGCCGTCTTTTTGTACGAGTATGCGTGTGCGAATGCATTTTTGCGTCAATGGTGTGTTCATGTATTTGTGTGTTTTCACAATTTTCGCTTGAAGCATTTGCAGGTACTCGCGCAATGTGCACTTCGGCACAACATTGTACGCGCTATGAACAGTGCAAGCAGAAAGGACGAGCTCGCAAAGGAACCCAAGATGGAAGCTTTGCAGTTCGGTTGAATTGATTGCGCAGATTTAGTTCTATCCAACTCGAAATTGTACTGTTTTGTTTGGTTGACTATAGTGTAGCAAGGCAGGCACTATAGGGGTACAATTTAGGTGAAGGTTGGATGTTGTTTGTCTGTATCTGCATGCTACAAGGCCAGGGGAAACCAGCGGAACCAGCATTTGGCTGGTTGGGCAAAGACAAAACAGGTTCTATTTTTAGAACCTGAACCTGGTTGTTGTTTTCCCAGGTTGGAAAAACAAAACCAGAGGTTGTTTACCAACCTACTACCTGCTATTTTGTCCAGCCAGGTTGGTTCTGTTGCTTGGAATTATTTGAGATCGATTATTCCTGGTTGTTCCCAGGTTGATTCCCAAGGTCCTTGCTAGCTAGAACTATTTATTCCTTCTCTGTTTGTACCTGCATATAGTCAATTGATTCAAGCGAATTCCTTCCTCGCTGGAATTTCATTTCTACGCGGTTCGACGGCGGAATGCTACCTGAGTGGACGCTGGTACGCTAGCACTCCAACGCTAGGCAAATGCTGTCCGAGCCATAACTTCGTAATGACAGAACTAGTCGCGAGGCAACTTGACTTATTCTATGCTCTTGGAGCGAGCTTCGATATAGCGAATTCTCAGCTTAATCCGATTGACTGTCTGTACTATACGTTGCGCGACGTTCAAAGTACTCAGTCTGTTTTGACTAAGTCCCTCTTGATCCCTCTCTCTACAAACTCGGACCCGAGGATAGGGGCTGGTCTTGTACCAGGCACCCAGGGACCCTTGGAGGTGACCCTGAGGAGAGGTTTTAAGTTAGATGAAGTCTTAATAGCTTGAGTTTATTAGGCCCTTACACCAACAAGCTGGTATCAGAGTTGCGTTATAGCATCGCCGGTGGCCGACGTGACGCCAAGCTAGTCAGCGTGGCAGCGAAATCGCAGTCGACAGGGCAGCAGCAGGCCGAGGAAATGCAGCCGACTTCGACGAAGGAGGCATCGGCAGCAGAGTGGCCGACAGAGGAGCAGGCAGCTATGAAGCCGACCACGAAGCAGTCGGCGACCGGCCAGTCGGCAGGGGAGCCGACCACAGGGGAGACGTCGGAAGGGAAGCCTACTGAGGTGCAGCAGGACGATGAGGGCAGTGAAGCCGGTGATGATGGAGGGGACGTCGAGGAGTCCACCAACAGCGATGTTGTGGAGGTCCCGACCAGACCGCGGCAGTCTGGCCGAATTCGGAGGCCACCCAACTTCTACGTACCGGCTGCCTTCACCACGGCGTACGACAACGACGACGTCGGTCTGGCGTACGATGACGCTGAGGACGACAAGGAGTTTCCGGAGCTCGACCCCGACATGCATGCCGGCCCTGAGCACCGTTCGGACATCTCCACGATGACGGTGAAGGAGGCGTTGGCGAGCTGGAAGGGCAAGGCGGTGAAGGCCACCATGGAGGAGGAGATCCGCAGCATCCTCAGCATGGGGTCGTAGGAGTTGGTCAAACCCCCACCGGGGGTGAACATCATGAAGAACCGGTGGGTGCTGATGACGAAGTACCGCATCGACGACACCGTCGAGCGCGAGAAGGCGAGGCTGGTCGTGAAGGGCTTCACGCATGTGTATGGCGCCGACTACGATGAGACGTACGCGCTGGTGAGCAGCTACGTCACGCTGAGGATTTTCCTCAGCATCGTCGCCGTCCTCGACTTCAACCTGATGCAGCTGGACATGAAGAACGCCTTCCTGCAGAGCAAGCTCGACCAGGTGCTGTACATGTACCAGCCGGACTACTTCAACGACGGGACCGGACTACTCCAAGCAGTTGAAGAGCCTCTATGGGATGAAGCAGACGCTGCTGTTATGGTACAAGGCGCTCAACGACGTGCTGGTCGGTGTTGGGTGGAAGAAGAGCCAGGTCGACGAGGCTCTCTACTTCAAGGTCGGTGGCAAAGGAGTGGCCTGCTGGTTGCTGGTCTACGTCGACGACCTGCTCGCTGCCAGCAGCAGCACCGAGATGGTGAAGGAGCTGAAGGAGTTGCTGGAACCGGCCTTCGAGATGCGGGAGATCTCACCGGTGCAGAAGCACCTCGGGCTGGAGATCCTGCGCGACGGGCCGTCGAGGAAACTGTGGCTGCACCCGCAGGGCTACACCAACAAGCTGCGTAGGCGGTTTCTTGAAGACGACGGTCTCCGTCGACGCCTACGCCAAGCTGGCGTTCGTGGAGGCACAGGAGCGCCAGGAGAAGGAGTACCGGCAGAAGGTCGGCTCGCTGCAGTTTGCGGCGACGACAACGAGGCCGGACATCGCCTTCGCCTGCAGCAAGCTGGGCAGCGGCCTTATATTGAGGTGCGACCAGCACCGGCACGAGGTCGACCGCTGCCTCGCCTACCTCGCAAACACACGTGACACTGCCCTGGAGTTTGGCGGTGGACCAGAGTCGCTGGAGCTGGTCGGCTACGTGGACGCCAATGACGTTGGCGACAAGCAGAACCAGACAAGCATGGGCGGCTATGTGTTTGTCTATGGAGAAGCCGCTGTCTCCTGGTCAAGCCAACGCATCAAGTATGACTCTGTCGTTGAAGCCGGCAAGGAGAGACGCGCCTTCTCTTCCTCCTCGAGGAGATTCGGCAGCTGGACGCCGGGAAGCCGACCGTCCTCTGGGTGGACAGCAAGTCGGCAATCACGGTCGCCTCAGGCATGGGGTTGACGGGCAACCTCAAGCACATGGAGCAGCGACAGGCCTGGCTGCAGCACATGGTGAAGCGCAGGAAGATTTCGCTGAAGTACATCCCCACCGCTTAGCAGCCGACCGACTTCCTGACGAAGGCGCCGCACTACCCGGCCTTCAACCGGTGCTCCATCGCGATCGGCCAAGTGCTCCTGGCCGACATGGGCGACGGCGACGAAGACGTGCAGCACTAGGTGCCATGCCCTTTTGCATGGCTGGTGCGGTGACCGGCGTGCTGTGCGTAGGGTGCACGCCGACAAGCTATTCTCCGAGCTGTACTGCCGTGTGGCTGGGGCCCAAGCGTGAACGCGGCAGGGGAGTGTCAACGGGAGTGTTGTGTGGCCCCGTCCTCGCTTGGGCGGAGCCGACTTCGTGGTCGGGTGTGAGGGGAGCAGCCGACCTGCAGCAGTGGGCGAGCTGGTCGACGAGGTTGGTCGACCTGCACGGGGGCCACTGCAAGGGCGCCGACTTTAGGGCGCCGAGTTCCGGGTGGTCGACGAAGGGGGGAGCCGACGTCGATCTCAACAAGGGAGTTTGGGGACGCCGGACTGGAGGGCGTCGAGCAGCAGGACGCCAAACAGCTGGGCGTCGAGCAGCAGGGCGCCGACATGGTGGCGAAGTCGGCGGCCCGATCCTGAGATGGTCGACAAGGGGATGCCGACCAGGGGTGACGCCGACTTGGTGGTATCGACCTGGTTTTCCGGTCGACCAGGATACCCAAGCGACGGGCTTCTGCGGAGGCGTGCGAACGTCGTTGGGGTGGCTTCTGCGAGACCGACCTCAAGGGTGGTATCCCGAGGTCGACATGGCTGGTGGGCGCAGTCGCTGCCGTGGACGTCAGCGCTGTGCACGTGACTAGGAGTGGCGCACCAACCAGCTACGCACACCTGCGAAGCAGGTGCACCGTTGTCCTGCGGGTGCAACGCTGTGCAGCCGACTTGCTGCAGCGTTGGCGCACCGTAGACATGCAATGTTGGCAAGCGGCCTTTGCTCTGCTGGAGCGCGGTCGACCAAGTCGTGCTGGCACCCGGTCGCCTGTGCTGCGCTGGAATTCGACCAGCAGCTTTGCTAGTGCTGATGTAGTCTTGCATGCCAATGTTGTTGCTATCATTCTGGATCATTGTTGTGAACTTTTGCTAGTGAAATGCTTGCCAATTCTCCCCGTGAACTAGCAAGTAGTGTGAGCACAAGCAAACGACTAAGGAACGAACGCAGGTACCAAGTGTAAGTGCGCTTATTTTCTAGATGGTTGGTACCGAAAGTAAGTGCGATAGTTACTAATATGGTTGGTACTAAGGGTAAGCACGTTACTTTTGATATGGTTTGTATGTAAGTGTGTTACTTACCCATATTGTTGGTACTAAGTGGCGTTACTTACCCATCTGATTGGTACCAAGGGTAAGTGCTTTACTCACCCATATGGTTGGTACCAAGAGTAAATGCATTACTTACCCATATGGTTGGTACCAAGACTAAGTGCATTACTGACCCAGATGGTTCATACTAAGGGTAAGCACGTTACTTATCGATATGGTTGGTACCAAGAGTAAGTGCGTTACTTACCCATATGATTCGCACTAAATTTAAATGCGTTACTTAGCCATATGGCTGGTACCAAGAGAAAATACATTAATTACCGGTATGAGCAGCGCCAGATTCTATGAGCAGTGCCATAGCTATCTCTAGAATTGTCCGGTTCGCCCGTTCTGCTACACCGTTGGACTGTGGGGTGTAAGCCATGGTCAGCTCCCTCTGGATGCCCTGCTTCTTGAGCCAGGCTGTCATTTCAGCTCCAAGGAACTCACCAACCCGGTCTGTCCTAATCCGCTTCACTACACACTCCGCCTGCTTCTCTACGAATGGCAGCCAATCATCCCGTATCGTGGAGGCGGCGTGGTCCTTTTTCTTGAGTGGATACGCCCACATGAGTCTGCTCCAATCATCCACAATTGTAAGGAAATACCGCTCCCCCTTGTGCCCTTGCACTGGCAGCGGCCCCACCAAGTCCATGTGGACCAGCTCCAAAGGCTTCTTGCTCCTGCCAGCCACACTATGTGTTGGGTGCAAATGCACATTGCACGACATCCTGCCGTCTGTTTGTACGAGTATGCGTGTGCGAATGCATTTGCGTGTGAATGGTGTGTTCGTGTGTTTGTTTGCTTTCGCATTTTTCGCTTGATGCATTTGCAGGTACTCGCGCAATGTGCGCTTTGGCACAACATTGTACGCGCTATGAACAGTGCAAGCAGGAAGGACGAGCTCGCAAAGGAACCCAAGATGGAAGCTTTGCAGTTCGGTTGAGTTGATTGCGCAGATTCAGTTCTATCCAACTCGAAATTGTACTGTTTTGTTTGGTTAACTATAGTGTAGCAGGGAAGGCACTATAGGGGTACAATTTAGGTGAAGGTTGGATGTTGTTTGTCTGTATCTGCATGCTACAAGGCCAGGGGAAACCAGCGGAACCAGCATTTGGCTGGTTGGGCAAAGACAAAACAGGTTCTGTTTTTAGAACCTGAACCTGGTTGTTGTTTTCCCAGGTTGGAAAAACAGAACCAGAGGTTGTTTACCAACCTACCACCTGCTATTTTGTCCAGCCAGGTTGGTTCTGTTGCTTGGAATTATTTGGGATCATCCCTGGTTGTTCCCAGGTTGATTCCCAAGGTCCTTGCTAGCTAGAACTATTTAATCCTTCTCTGTTTGTACCTGAATATAGTCAAATTGATTCAAGCGAATTCCTTCCTCGCTGGAATTTCGTTTCTGCGCTATTCGACGGCGGAATGCTACCCGAGTCAACGCTAGTATGCTAGCACTCCAACGCTAGGCAAACGCTGTCCGAGCCATAACTTAGTAATGGCAGAACTTTTCGCGAGGCAACTTGGCTCATTTTAAAGCTCTTGGAGCGAGCTTCGATATAGCGAATTCTCAGCTTAATCCGATCGACGGTCTGCACGGCACGCTGCGCGACGTTCAAGGTACTCTTGCTGTTTTGACTAAGTCCTTCTTGATCCCTCTCTCTACAAACTCGGACCCGAGGATAGGGGCTGGTCTTGTACCAGGCACCCAGGGACCCTTGGAGGTGACCCCGAGGAGAGGTTTTAAGTTTGATTAAGTCCTAATAGCTTGAGTTTATTAGGCCCTTACACCAACAAGCTGGTATCAGAGCTGCGTTATAGTGATCCTCGTTATAGGTAGCTATGGCGGGCAACACCTCGGCGGGAGCTGGTGAATCTTCAGCCCAAGATCGTAGCGGCAGCCAAGATTCTGGTCTTTCAGCGCCAAGGGGAGCGCGAACAAACCAGGGCTCGCTTGTCAAGGAGGTGCTGAAGAATTTCACCGTCGAGAAGTTCAATGGTGAGGGCTATGATGATTGGGCCTGGAAAATGCAATTATATTTCCGTCAGATCGGTTTGCTGAAACTAATGATTGGGGAGGAGCCTAGACCGAGTGACCCCACGCTGCAGGAAGATTGGGACGAGCGCTCCTCGGCTGGCTACTATTTGATGTCGCAGAGTTTGGAGCTGAACCAGCGTCACCACGTCATGCACCTGCTGCCGGAGGTTGAATGCGGTCCGAAGGCGTGGACCGTGTTGAAGGAGCTGCACGCCCCGACCTCCGTTGTCGCAACGTTGATGCTGGAGAGGGAGCTGTCCGCGTTGCGCCTGAGCGAGGGAGAGCCGGTGCAACCAGTCCTGGACAAGATGCGCGACCTCTACGCGAAGTTGGCGACCGCGGGAATCACCTACCCGGAGCAGACCAAGTGCTTGAAGATGCTCTCGCTGCTGCCAGAATCGTGGCTTCAATTTACGAGCGGATTGAGCCTGCCGCAGAACCAGAGCTTGTGGACGCTCGAGTGGGTGCGGACGAAGATTCTGGAGGAGGACTTCCGTCGCCGCCAACTGAGGGGTGGAGACGACGGCAGCAGCGGCTACGGGATGCAAGGGAGCCGACGTGGCAGAGGACGTGGCTTCGGTGGTGCTGGACGCGGTGCAAAGAAAGACGACGACTCCAACGACCAACAAGGAGGTACCGGTTGGGGTCGCGGTGCAAAATCTGGACGTGGGGGCAAGTCGGGTGCTGGTGGCAAAATGAAAGGGAGTTGCTGGTATTGTGAGAAGGAAGGGCACCCCTGGTTTTTGTGCTATAAGAAACCCGATGGATGGACCCCCCAGAATCGTCACCAGGATGGCGGCGCGCGGAGGAACCAGAAAAACGGCGCCAACATGGTCGCTGATTCGTCCGACAACAACCCGAAGGGCAACGGCGGTGCGGAGAAGAAGAAGGAGCGCACCGCGGGCCAATTCTTCCATGTGGGAGACAAGGGGGAGCAAGGAGACGCCTCTGCCAAAGTTGGAGCAGAGCTGCACCCCCTGGACTATTGGGTGTTGGACACGGGCGCTGCTTGGACGATGACGCCGCGCAAGGACCTGCTGGACGAAGTACGAGCTGCACCGATCAATGAAGTGTGCTCCGCCTCTGGACACATGTTGAAGGTGGCTGGTGCGGGACGAGCTGCGTTTAAGGGAGCGGATGGCAAGCCGGTGGTGCTGCACGACGTTCTCTTCGTCCCCGACCTGAAGGCCAACCTTATCTCCCTCCGTAAGCTTGGCAAGGCTGGGGTGAACACCAACACGGATGGGGCACGCACTTATAAGGGGAAGCTGGGCAATCGGGTGCTTTGGGATCTGCACGAGAGCAAGGACGTGTACAGATCTATGTGGCAGCTGCCGGCCCTGGCGTGGCATGGTGGGGGGCAGGCTGGAGAGGGGTCTGCATCCCAGGGGGAGTGCAATGCCGTTGGAGGGGTTGGTGTGAAAGTGTCGGCCAGATCTGGGGAGACAGATTGGGCAACGGCACACCGGCGCTTAGGGCATGTGGCAATGCCTTTGCTGAAGCAGCTGGAGAAGGATGGAGCCGTTAAGGGTCTGAAGCTGAACGGACAGCCACCCGATGACAACTGTGAAATCTGTTTGCTTTCAAAGTTCACCCGTTTCCCTTTCCATAGTGTGGCTGGCAGGAGCAAGAAGCCTTTGGAGCTGGTCCACATGGACTTGGTGGGGCCGCTGCCGGTGCAAGG